ACTTCAATACTTCAAGTATATTTTGCTAATAATTCTTAGATACTTTTACTTTAGGGACATTTTCAGTGCAGGATTTTTGACTGTAATGGAGCATATGTACTCACAACATTGTACACCTGCCTATTGATATAATTATCCCATCAGACAATAATGTGGCAACAGTGCAGCATTAAATCCTGCAGATATAATACAGTTCAGGAACTTCACTTAATGTTCACATCAATAATAGGCCGGGGAGAAACTTAGCCATAATTATTGGTGTGTTTCTTATCTTTTGGGATTTTTACAGAGGTTACTCAGGATGGTGAGGAAAACACAAAAAAATCTCAAGAACAGCAGTCCTAAAGCTGAGGTGATAATTTTTAGACTGGTTGGAGCTAAGAGAAAGGTTACGGTAACTAAGATAATCACTTTTTACAAATGTGCTGAGCAGAAAAGCATTTCAGAGTGAACAGCATGTCCAACTTTAAGGCAACAACAACAGAAAATCCTGTTTGGTTCCACTCACAGATTTACCAAAACTGGACAGATGATAACTGGATAAATTAATTCTGTTTCCACTGAGGCTGCAGACAGGATCATAATTTGACATCAGCACTATAAATCCACAGACACAACCTGCCTTGGAGTCAACCATCCAAGCTGGGAGTGTTAGTACAATGATGTGAGGAATGTTTTCTTGAAGCCCTTCCTCACGGTTTGAATGCCAACACCTACTTGAGTGTTGCTGCTGATCATGTTCACCAATTTATGGATACAAATTACATTCTTCTAATTCCAGCATGACAAGTCATAAAGCAAAAGTTGTCTGCAACTGATTTTCATGACATTGAGTTCAGCAGCCTCGTCAGTCACAAGATATGAATTTAGTAGTACCAGAATCTTCAGAAATAACTTGATGGAATCATGTGGAGCAAAATCTTTAAATAAAGTTTCCAACATCTTATAGACTCCATGCCAAAGGAGTGTATAAGAAGTAAAAGCTCCCAAAAGTCATATGGAGCTCTTAATAGACAACATTCTTGGTGCCTTTTTAATGTAGTATTGTTAATTTTACTAAAATAAAAGCATCTTAATACTTTCTTCACCACTGATATTCTCTGGATTAGACTGAGTGTCAAATGAGTAAAATCTGAATTTAAGCAAGTTCTTGGATGATAAAGTCATGCATTAACCAGCTACGTGCAAGTTTTCAATGAACCACCTACCTGCGTTCATATGTGACGTTTTAATTAAAAAAAAAATAAATAAAGAAAAGAAAAAAAAAGCTGTAAAAGCCATATGTAGTGTGCACCTTGTAGCGCTTAGACAGCGAGGCTACTGCTGAAGCTTTAATATGGCAGAATACAACTTTACAGGAGTATCTGAGTATCTGAGTCAGCAGGTCGTGGATGTGTTGAGAGGCTTGTGGTTCAGAGTCCGCCTTACTCCCTCTCCGCCTCACACAGTGTCCCGCTTACTGATCCAGGTGCTGATCCAGCTGTTGCCCCGCGCGTAAATGGAAAGCTTTTACGCACAGCGCGTGTTCACTTCAGAGGGGATTTAATTGTTGTTTTTGCATTGTCACACGCCTCGCCCGGTGCGTAAGTAGGCCTCAAGCACTGGGGATGTGCTGTCGAGATGTAAGAGATGCGGTAATACCTCACTACATAATACAGGGGGGTGGGGGGTAAAAGGCAAGGCGTGCGTCCGGACACTCACCGCCAACTAAACGCGAGAGGGACTCAGACATCAATAACATCTCGCTCATCAATAAGAAATTTTGGAGTTAGACTGCTTAATTAAATAGTTTGCCGTGAAGGTATTACGCTCCCTGAACGTAGAATACTTAATCTGATGACCCCCAATGGAGAACATCTGAAAAAAGGACTCTTCAGCATCTCCATCCACAGGAAAGCGGCTCGGCCAGACAGACAACACGACTTGGAGATAATTCTCATCTTTCAGCGATGGCTATCAACACTGATGCTGCCTTTGGGAAAAGCGCCCTTGGCGAAAGGGAAGCTTCCAACCCCACCGACTTCCAGGACACAGAGAAGCTGCTGAGCACCGCGACCACGGAGCCCACCGGGCAGAGCAACATCAAACCATCCGACTCTTTCTCCCTCAACATCAGAGGAAGCATCCGGTCCCTGGACGCGGACCAGAACGGACACAAATCGCCGCTGAAGTCGGGCTCCGTCGGGCAGCTGCCGACCCCACCCAAGTCCACGTCCCGGCTCAGCCTGGGCCCGATGCCCTCCCCGGTGCCACCTGGGTCCCAACCCGAGAGTTACCTCTGGCTCGCCGTGCTGTCCTGTTTCTGCCCCGCCGTGCCGCTCAACATATGCGCCTTGTGGTACGCACATGTGGTGAGTGCTGTATTTATGTACAATTTTAACTTTCTTTATGTAGATTATCAGACAGATCACAGGTTTTATTCTAAAGCTTGAAGCTTGACTTTTAATATAAGCACCACAGGTGTTTTGCTTCTGTGCGCATTTAAATAATTAGTAGTTGATCACCTCCTTCCCTTTTCTTTTCCATCTTGTCCCCTTAGTCGAGGTCTGTTCGCCACACAGGAGATTTTGCAGTAGCGAGGAAGTATGGTCGTCTATCTATGCTGTTCAGCATTCTGGCAATGCTGCTGGGTGTGGCTGTGATCCTGTTCACAGTGTTTTCAATAGGTATGGAAAAAAGACATTAATCAAACAGGCACACGAGTGTCAGTGTAATGGTGTGTGTCTTAAATTCTGTTCTCTGTGTCTCTCAGAGCTCCAGTGATGGAAAGTGTTTCCTGTAACTTCATCTGATCTCAAATTTGCACTTGAGCGAGAGGAGGAGGAGGAGGACGGATGTCATTTTGAAGAGAAAAAAAGCACAAAATCTGAGTTGAAAACAAGCTGAAAAGACTCCAAAGTACAAGTTATTGTTTTTTTCTGCTATGGACTTTAAAAAAAAAAGAAAAGAAAAAAAAGAAGAAGGAAAGAAGGTGCAGGCCATTTCTCCTTTTCTGGCAGCACCTATGTCCAACAACCCCAAAAAACTCAGGAATCAAGGAAGGGAAATGAAGGCTGCACGCAGTTATTGTGTCAGACCGTCAGTGAGCACAGTCTGTGGAGAAAGTGCAACTACTCATACATAGTCCAAACTAATGAAGTTCACACCTGCCTGACACACAGACAATTGGATGGCACAACATTATAGTTATTAACAAAAACTTGGCACAAAGAAAGACATAGTAACAATTGTACATCATGTGAAGACTCAGTTAAATGCACTTATTTTAGTCAGACATAAACAAAAGGCATCAGTGCACCTCTAGTCCGTAAAGTCGCCACTGCCTGCCCTGTTTCTCTCAATATCTGCAACAACGTACGGATTGACTTCTCTTTTTGTTCACTGGACTTTATAGTGGCTGTGGAAAGACGTATAAGCTGTTTTCATACACTGTTTACACAAAGTTTAGAACACATGTATGTTTATCATGACAATGCCCTTCTGCAGACGTAGTGTGATATCTTGCTTTGCGTGCTAACATGATAAACTGATTCCTGTTTGGGCTCCACTAAAATGTGTGGATCTCTAAACCTCATTATGTTTACAATATACTGCAAGATATGAACGGGGCTGTTCCCCCTTGTATGCACCAATCTTGGCACTCTGATGTTCATGTTTATACATTTATACTGTATGACTGGTTTACTGTGCCATAGTTCTTGCATGTCTGAAATAAACTTGAATGAGCATGACCAACCTGAGCGTGAGCTCATCACCTTTATTTAGGAAACATCAACAGTACACTAGTAAAATATTACTTCGTGCATTTATATAGTTAAAGTTGCAACAGATTACAAGCAGTAATATACAAATTCCCAGACGGAAATGTTATTAGAATTCAGAAAATAAATAAACTCTCCAATATGAGAGTTGAAATGCTTTCATTTTAATTAAGACTTCTTTCTATGTGATATTTACAGTAAAATCTGTTTAGTTTTTAACTGTTTTTATAGGTAGAGTAAATTACAATTGAAGAACGTATGAAAGAATAAAAATATCTTGGCAACACTTGGTGTGAGATACAAGGAACATATATACATTTTGTTTGTCCAGGTCGGGTCAGCGAGTCAGTGGAAAGTGTAGAGCAACAGGAGTATGGTGCAGACGCCAATCACCACACCTAGAATTAAAGAGTCCCGCCTCTTGCGCAAATTGATTTTCTGGATGAGACTGTTGATGGCAGGGAAACGATCTGAGAGGAAGGAGGGGAGTGTGGTAAAGGAAAATAATTAAGATCCAAGCCAGGCTTTCCTTTCGAGCAGTAAGTAAGAGATAGAAAGCAGCAGGGAAAATACATCAGCAGGGCTCCTAACGCAACCACGAAAAAATAAATGGAGCCTAATGGAATTGTCTTTTGTTGTTTCACTGTTCCGCACGGATGCAACTGAGTCAGATTTGTGCAAACATGTAGCATGCGAAACACAAAGTAAAGATGGCCAGGTGTAGAGAGAATCAAGAGAAGCCATTTCAAGAATAAAAAGGATACTGGCCAAAGTTGTGACCCTGGTTTGAATGGACTTCAGCATCCCACGCTGAAATGTGATGTTCTCTTTGGTAGCCATGGCGATACTGGAGGGAGACAAACCATGAGGGATTAGCGGCACCAAAAGAGGCATATAGCTGTCTTCACAGCATCACATTAAGCTAGTTTACCAGACCTGAATGTTCTGTGTTTGCTTATGATGTGTGCTGAGTGAGTGAGAGTAAAAGGGGAGAGGAAGGGGAGTGAATGGAGCAATAAAGCTTACCTTATTGCATTGTCAATAAGCCTATCTGAGCTGTGAAACAGGGAAAAAAGAAGAGAAAAAGTGAAAAAAAAAGTAAGATCAAGTCAACCTTTGTGAGCTTACAGGAAGATTTACATTTTCTAAAATAGTCTTTTGAGATCACTTTAAATATATATTTATGAGTCATGAAATGATTCAACAGGAGAAGCCTGAGCGATGTAACCACACAGCCTGTTGGGTCTATTATCATAAGAGATGCACTTCCTCTGGTTCCTCGAGAGAGGAGAAAGTGCTGGTTAATGGAGGATTTTTGGGAAAGTCGATTAACGTCGGTTAATGTGTGTAATACATATCTGCTCTGAACACATGGAAAGATGAATTTTAGAATGGTGACGTCATCCCTCTTATTTGCTTTGAAAAAACCTCCCCAAAAAACAACCCAGACATATAGATGGACGACACTGAGCCTGAACGCACTCGTGGATGAGGTTTCTGCTGGCTCCCATTATCTGCCGAGATAAGTGACGGACAGAAAAATGAAGTGTTCAGTCCGGGGCTGAGCAGAGCATACAAGGGCAGCAGCGTGCATCCTGTCAGACTCCGCTGTAGAGCAAAAATCAATACTGTGCTTTATACTTCCTCCATCTCTTCGTCAGCCTCTCCCACCATCCATCTACTGCTGTTCTCTGTGCTTTCTGAGTCCACAGGCAAATCAGCTTCTGGCTTTTGTCTCTACCTTCCTTCTTTACTTACTTCCTTTATATATATACTTTTTTTTTTTTTTTTGCTCCTGTCACCTTTATACTCACTGTGGGCTCATTTTTCATTGCAATAAAGTCCTGAACCTCTATGGAGACAGAGATACCATTGCTAGAAGCAAAGAGAACCCAAAACGTCTTTTGTGCAGCATGACACAGTTATATTACTGTTAAACTGTTAAATAATAAAAAGAAAGAAAAAGAGAAAAGTTGAATTTTTTGATCGTTCAGTTCATTTCACAAGAATTAAAAATGTCAACGTGTACAACATTTTTCAAAGTGCTCACAGCTGTAAAGATTCATGGCAAAAAATTGGTGACGCTACACACTGTAGATATTTTACTATACTACCTATACTACCAGTACTAGACTCTTGGTCACAGCTGAGTCACTAATGGCTTCCTGGTTGCATCGAGGAGTGCAGAATTTTTTAGGTTTTTACAGAATCTAGTTAGACCAAATGTTTTTGGGGTTTTTTTGCTGTTGTTGCTGCAAATATTAAATTAGACATGTAGAATAAAGACATTTTGATGATATATCACAATTTTTAGCTTAGATTTGGTAAAGTTTTCTGACCAAACAGCACATCACATGAGTTGTTCATGGACTGTCAAAAAGTTTTTACAGTTTCTGACTTTAAATGGTGTAACTTTAGTGAATTTTAAAGACAATAAGCCTTTCAAACCCGCTGAAGGTTTGGAGTACAAAGTACAAAGAAATAAACTTGGAGTACAAAGTACAAAGAAATAAACTTTACAAAGAACTTTGATCCTGTCTGCATTAAGTTTGTAAACTGCAGTATGGTATTGTGTACTACTGTAAATGTAACAAAAACTTTTTAGAGACCACATATATTTTTGTTAATACTTCAGGCCAGGGAAATGTTATATGTTCATGCAAATGATCTGCCCCTGTGTAAATCTATATTACTGACATATTCTTATATAAGCCTACACATACAGTGTAATACCATTGAATGTCAATGTCATTAGCTTCACTAAAAGAGCTTTCCATGGCACCTAAAGTCTCCCCTCCCTTGTTGTTCCTTTTCCACTATCTCCAAATACCAAACACTCACATATGAGTGGAACTAAAATACACCCAAAGAAAAAGCAAAAGCAGAGATATTATTTCCTCATTTGTGTTTCATACATTAGTTTAACCTTTTACAACATTTTAAAATGTCACATTCATTTTCCTTTGTAGCATCCATCCAAGTTACAGTTTTGCATGTCCATTAAACCTAAAGCACTTTTCTAAGATCTGGTAAGACTAACTGATGATTCAGTAAAACATGAGGCATGGTGGCAATATATCCTATTACATGTACGACGTCCATGACGAGACCAAAAAGATTTCACCTCTAGAATTGCCACACTGTATGCATACAGGTTCCCACTTCATTGTTGCATACTTTTATTATTATTATTGTTATAACAGTGTGAGACAAAGCTGAAGCTCTTCTTGGTGGTCACATAAACTCTATAAATAAATCTAAAGTTCAACATCAAAAACAACTTTCATCGCAATACTGATGTGCAACTGCGTATTGACGACAGAAAGCTGCACTCCTCTGATTTTCTGCCACAATGAGTAAAATAAAATGTCACCAAACGAACAACAGCTACAAGAAAAAAATGTGACTCCAAGTGCTGTTCCTCACATTACCTGCAAATTCTCTTCTAATGAGCAAACAATGACCCACCAGCAATATAAACTGCAACATTATGCAATCATATTGCACAATTAAAATTTTGTGAATACTTCAGATTACTAATTTTAACAGATATCAAACAACAGCATTTTGTTTCTAAATGACGGTGACTGATTCAGTGAAATGAAACGAGTCACAACACGAGATAGGACATATGTTATATATACACACAGAAAGAATAATTGTGATCAATGAGAATTGGATTTTTTTCATATAATTTTAAATATTTGAATGAGGAATATTACATGTCGAACTTATTTTGTTGAAAAAAATGCCTGTAAATGTCAGTAGATGGTGAAAAATGTCCCACTATGACGTGAAGTCTTTAAATTGCTAGTTGTGTCCAACAAACTGTCCAAAACCCTTCATCCTTCTCTCTCCTCTCTACCCTCATCCCAACCAGTCGAGGCAGATGTCTGTCCTCCCAAGTGTTTGCTCAGAGAGGATCATTGGATTGTTTGGGTTTCTCTCTATAATATAATATCATAAGGTCTTTACCTTACTATGTATAGAGCTGACTTATGTTGCCAACTGGCGCTATAAAAATAAAACTGAATTTAATTACTACAGACTCACCAAAACCAGTAACTACTCACACTTTAAAAGCTGGAATTCATTATTTTTTGGTAATTTTACCTTAAAACTTTTAATGTTGTTGCCTGTCACTCAGAGCTAAGTTTGCTAATTGTTTCAGCACTTTAAAAATGTCCATCTGTACCATTTTGAGATAATTTCAGGGTTGAAGTAGTGAACATTAGTTGATGTAACTCTTAAACACTCTCTCTCTTCTTATTTAGGCTTCGTGGAGCGAATGAACTGTAATATGAAGCCTATACAATAATGTTCTCGTCCATCACAGTCATGATTATACCTGCACAGGAGTCCTGACAAAGCTCAGCAGCATTTCCCCCCATCCACCTCAGAGCACCGGTCAACATCTCAGACTACACGTGTCAGTCTCTACCTCTGCTTCATGTCTGGTTCAACATTTTTTTTTTTTTTACTTTAGTTAGATCAACATATTAGGTTTCTCACAGCTGCAGAGTGTCGGCATGCACAACATTTTCAGCATTTTACTTCATCTTTTTAGGTCTATCTGTCTACGGTTCTGACAACACTGACAGCAACAAAAACATTTCCATCAGTTGCAGTGAAGGGGAAGATGAGAGCGAGTTCAGTAATAAAGGTAAGGCCATCCTAGGGGAATGTGAGATTATCGAGAGTTTTATGACTCTGTGCTCTCTGATGTCTACTCCTCCACAGGTGATACTGGAGAAAATGTTGCCCTGGGTAACATCAGCAACATTTATGTGTCTGGAACAAAGTGCAGCTCCACAGGAGGAAGGAACAAATACACTGAGACGGACGGGTTACATTCGTCATACGGCTGGTAATGTGCTAAAAGTGGGTGGTTTATTTCTGATTGCTGTGTAGTGGACATTGCAGCACATATCTGAGCAAGATCAACTGCTCTTGAGGCTCATATTTCTGATATTTTAGCAGGACAAATTGCATGTAAGGCCAATATTGGCAATGTCAGTGGTGTTACTGTTGGTAAACACTCAGAGCTCAATAGGCTCAGGAAACCGCATCAACATTAGCTGACATTTAGTCATCACATAGGACACAGTACTGGATCAAAATAATGAAAATAAAGTTGATATACAACACGAAACCGTCTTTGCATAGCTCGCTTCATTGGTTTCATCAAAGGCAACACATGTTTTTTATCACCTTTTTAAGTAAAGCACTGCACACATGGGAAAGATATATTTAAGTGTATTATATAATCTAAGTAGGATGTACAGAAATTACAGTACAATCAAACCCAGACAGAGCAGCCCAACCGCTGAGAGTACCAGTGAGGATCAACTGTGAGATACAGTCCAGTAAAACCAGAAACTGAGACGTCCTCAGAGTCAATTCCAACAAGGAGGTTGTTAGACACCATTTATGAAAAAGCAGTCGGAGTGAAATCTTTCAGAAACACAGCTGACTTCTACATTTTTAATGAATGGAGAAGCAGCTGAATGATGATTAGCCATGCTAACTACGTGGTTCAAAGAATGGCAGCACCAGTGGATGAGTCCAACACTTTAATCCATATACTACCACTACTACTGTTTCCCCTGGTAGTCCCCCCCTTGACCTTTTATCCAGCCCTGTCACCACATGTCAGAATTAAACGCTGATATGTGGTGGCAGGGCTTACTTTGGTTCATGACAATATACCAGCAAATCAAATGCTATTCTAATTATCCTCAGTAGTACCTTGTGTTAAGTGCTAAACGGTAACTGTGTGACCGTGGGAAAACATTACATCTAATAAACATGCACAGTTACTGTGAGCATGTTTATTAATACAGATGTTAGCACTAAGGTCCAAGAACAGCATCACAGTGTTGCTGGCATCATTGTAGACTCGTAGTGTTTACATAAAGAGGGGGGCTTTCTTGTCCAAAATGATTGTAAAGTCGGATGCAATTCACATTTTTCAGGTGTAAGCTGAATACAAAGGAATCCATTCCTATAGACTTGAAGGAGATCACAAACTGCTGAGCTGTCTCCACTCCCATTAAGTAATTTGACAAGTCAGTAGATCTTTGAATATTTTAGTAACATAAACATATATATATATATATATATATATAAAACACAGCAAAAAAGAAATTAAATAGCAATTTCAAATTTTAGCAATTTCCCTGAGGTCTTGTACCGAAGGGATCAATAAAGTTTTATTCGAATTCTAATTCTAATTCTAAATATAATTTGACTACGAGGCTGTTGAATTGCTGTATTATGACAGTGTGAAAGCAAAGCGGGGCTACATCTAAACCTCTTTACAGAGTTTTGATTGATGCGTTGCTGCTGTCCATCAAATTGTCGAGCTAAAAACTGCAAAAAGGAAACTTGAGGTGGAACATCCATCCATCCATCCATCCATTATCTATACACCGCTTAATCCTCACTAGAGTCTCAGGGGGCTGGAGCCTATCCCAGCCCACTCAGGGCAAAGGCAGGGGACACCCAGGACAGGTCACCAGTCTATCACAGGGCTACACTTAGACACAGACAACCAAGCACACTCACATTCACATGAGGTGGAACATGGGAAAGAAATAACGGGAAAAAAACAAAACATTAATAGCTTCAAAAGGATCATTAAGTTTGACTCTAGTGCAAAAATTTTCACTTAAGGTGAGGAATAAGATAATTCAGATAATTTATGTTTTGAAAAAACACACAGTAACAACACAATTAACTCTCTTCTAAGGGAGGAAGAAACTGCAGAGAAACAACAGAGCTATAGATGGAAATGGCCTCAATATAGAGCCTGAATTACAAATCTTTCAGCTGTGCATGTTGGTCAGTTTAGATAAAGTTCCTCCAAAGATTTAAAAATTACTATTTAAACTGAAGCAAACATAATTAGGATCCTTTAAATTGTTGCTGATTTCTTATTAAATTTCTATGCCGTGCCCTGCAACAGCATTGCTGATTCACAACTTTTGTTTTGTAATTGCTACAAACTCAAATTGAACTCAAGTCTCAGAACTCAAATTCATGACTTGTGGTGGTTTTGTGGTTTCAGCATAGTTCATATAAAAATTATCCAGTCTGAAATTGATGATGGTTACAACCTTACTGCTTTTGAAATGTTACAAGAAAAGTGTACATTGATGCCTCCTATTAAACATTACCGAAGTATAAAAGCAGAATTAGAAACTGTTGGGTTAATTTATAGATAAACAGAAAAAGATCAGAGATAGGGAGTCTGTCTAGACTTCAGCCGGAACAATGTCACACAGACAGCGTTAACGTGAGGGAAGGTTGGTGTGGGAAATAAATATGATGTTGAAAGTAAATCAGAGTGTAACTGCACTTTTCTGTCAGGATGTCTTTACATTTATATTAAATCTCTTTCTCTGATAAATACTCCTGCAGGAGAAATAGGAGCTCTGGGAAACACCACCGGCATTAAAGTAAGAGGAGAGAATACAGAAAAAGAACATACTGGTGCAAAGAATAGCTACAAAATTGAAGCCTTTATTGGCTGAATTTTATTTTACAGATTATGGGCTTTCTAAGAATAGAACAAAAAGCTAAATACAAGCTACAACTCCACATGGGCTGTCTAAATGGATGGACACTTATTTTTTTACATGCCACTGTAAGAATTACTAACACCTACTAATACGGAGACATGTCGTAAACTATAAACTCAGATAAAATGCTTGAGAGTAGAGCAGGCAATTTTTTGTTTTTTAAGGGGATTGTAAGGAAGTAAGCTGTGATAAGTTGAAATCTCTTACTTTCTTAGATGTTCGTGTTCCTTCAGGAAGAGCTCAGTCCTTCTGTTATTCACCCCTGAGCCACTCTTGTAGGACCTGAGTAAGAAAACAGAGGAGAGAAACATCAGATGATGGATGCTGGATACAGCAAATTAAAAAGCACTTTTGTTTTTTTTTGCAATTCATTTTTTAAGCCCTATTCAATAGAGACTGTAATGATCCAGACAGCAATTGTGGTGTGTGAGAGAGAGAGGGCTATGACATGCAATCAAGTCGCAACGGACACATCATTACCACGGAGCCACCAGAAGACACGACATGACTATGAGCCATCCGTGCGGCTCAGTGAGGCTGTATTTAGGTAGAGGCTCATAATGGCAATGACTCCAACGTGCTGCCAGCTAGACATTTTACTGTTTAACCTCTTTAAAGATGTTTCATCCTATTTGAATACGTTCAACTTCCATGATTAATTTCACTCTGGTTTTAGAGCTCTCCACAGTAGAGTCTGCTCTGTTGAAGGTCCAAAACAACAACCTCTTGTCCGTAGATTCTGGTTTTCACATCAAAAACCTTTCCAGCACAAATATTTGTAATAAGCATAAGCTGCCTTATTAGTTTGGCAAGCAGCTAATAAAGTATTGGACAACTTAAAACTATGACCTGATTATGGGATAGATGAGAGGAAGGATCAGCAACGAAGTTATTATGAGGGGAAATAAAAAAAACTACAAAAAACAAACACAACTGTCACCAGTTTTTGCTTAAGTCCGAAATGAGTACTTCACTCCCCTCTATTAAGTGATGCCTAGATGCTGATTATGTTCTTCTTCCATTCAGGCTTTTAAGTGATTAGCTCTGCTTAAACCAAAGCACCATCTTCCATCTCTTATTTACACCATCCCCTCCCTGCTTGGACTCATCATCAACACGATTCATGATCCATTATCTGTTCTGTTGCCCCACTCCCTTCACTGTTTCTCTACACCTTTCATCTCTGTGGGGTTAATTAAACTTCACTCTTATAATTTTTGTAATCAGTCAACATCAGATCAGGACACTGCCTCTCCCCCTCCGTCTGACTGTTCTGCTCTCCCTCTCCTCCCCTGATAAAGCATTACTGTGTTTCAGGCGGGACCGATGTAACCACTCTCCCTCAGCTTTGGTTGAATGAAAGCCTTGTGGTTTGATTTACTGTAGAAGGCACTTAGGAAAGATATCCCCAGAGAAAGAGAGGGATACAGACAGAGAGAGAGATAGAAATATACAGATAAAGAGAGAGAGAGAGGACAGAGAGATGGAGGGAGATCGGCTAATAAGAGGAGGTGTCTCTTATTAGAGGCTGAAATATGATAGAGGGGATGGAGAGCATTAAAGGGTGGGGGAATTTACTAACAGACTGGACATTTCTGCCTCCTGCTGGTTAAGAACATCAGCAAAAATACACAGAAGAGACGGGGAAGAGATGGGTGAGAAAGCAGCAAGGAAAGCCAAAAATGGAAGAAGTGATGAGGACAAAAACTGGCATGAAAGGAATTCAGAAGGAGAGGCAGACCGTGCCAATGTAGTGCAAATTTAGAGTACACCAGTGATTAGTATTGAATGTTCACAAAGTGTGAGGACTTGCAAAAGACAGATTTTTAAAAAGAAATGGTCAAAATCAGCGCATTGACCTAGAATATCCCATACAGATTAAATTAAATTATATCATCATCAATGTCCAAGCCTTCATTACAATTGTGTATGTCAGATATTTTAGAGTGTACACAATCATTCAGGAAATACAAATATAAATAATCAGTAGTAACACAACAATCAGTGCAGCTTGAAGGCAAATAAATTTGACCAGAGCTGAATGTCGGTCACTGGACTGCTCGAGTCATGGACAATTAGAGCGGACTAAAACTCTTCAAGTCAAAGTGGCATTCTCTGATGGTAAACAATCATACGGAAAAGACATACTGGACTCTCTCTCTCTCTCTCTCTGTATATGTGTATGCGTCTGTGTATGCGTCTGTGTGTGTGTGTGTGTGTAATGTTCATATGTGTTTATCATCACCAGGTGGTATTTTGTTGTATCTGCTGAGAATATACAAAGTCTATTATTATCTAGAGATGCCTGAAGGTTCTTACTCAATGTCTCTGTGAACAGAGCCCAGTAGATCCTCTCGCTCTCGCAGGCTGGAGAAGTTGCTTTTGGTTTTGTGGAACTCGTGAGTGTAGTCCTACAGGATAAAACATTACGAACTACAGTCAGATTTAATCACACTGACAGTATGACAGAACGGGAAGTCAAAAGGCCGTAATATATTACAGTTTGACAAATGTTGTTACTTTAAATGATAGAAAATACTAACTTACTGACTAATTAGTTCTCTTATGTAGCTGAAACACTCTTCAGAGAAAGAAAGTAAATAAATAAAGTTATTCTATGTACCTGTAAAATGTCTCTGTGTCTTTGTAAGGTGTGCATCAATGCTGCATTATGAGACGAAACTCCAGGGGTGTTTGTGTATTCTGCCATTTTGTCATTGACTGCTGTAAGCTGCCAAAACAAAAAGGATAAAATTAATATCATGTAACCATAGAAGCATTGATTTTTAGAGGGTTAAGTGATCTGAAAATGAAATGTCATTTAAAATATTGGAAAACAGTAAAAGAGATCCTAAAGTAAAGATTACAATAAAAATACACAGCCATTTCAACAGTCTGTACAACTGTAAAACAAACACCAGTTCTCCCAGCATATAAAAACCCAGGATTACACAACCAGCTGCTATTGAAGGGGACCCTAAAAACCCTTCAGCTGTGACTCTTAGTGACCATTTATGTGTGACATTTAACTTACACCGGCCAAGAGCTGCTCCAGTTCAGTCGTCATGGCTACAAGCATATTGTCTTGAGAGGAGCCACAAGAATCAGACCTGGTTTAGGAAGGAAAAAGAAAGGATACTAATGTTCAAGCTCAATTTTTGCTGCCATTCCATGTCAGACAAAAATAAGTTTAGTGTACAGAGTATTGCAGCACAATTAATCAAGAAAAAAAGAGACATTTCATCACAAATTTCTAATTTAAAATAGGATAAAAAATATTGTGCTGTCTGTTGCCCAGTTACTGACTCAAAATTGAAACTCCTCTTTGTTAAAATGCATTTATAAAAAATATTCTGCAGCATTGCTTATTCCATAGAAATGCAAAAATATCATGTCATGGTAGTCAACAATTGTATCTTTCAAGGCTTCTGAAAGCACAAAAAGAGTTTAGACATCGATGCAGATTTCATTTGAGTCAGAGTACATGCCCAGTGATAAAGTGAAGCAAAGACTGTGCTGCTGACCTGCTGTCTCTTGTTCGCTGGTCATGACTGCTGCTGCTGTAGCTGGTGCACAGTTTACTGAAGGAGACCAGCTTGAGATCCAGCTTATTCTCCAGCTGTCTCGCCTGTTTACGCAAATCTGAGTGCACAGAGAGATTCAGGACAAACATTTCAACATACAGACAGACATTTCATGTCTGGCTAAACAAAAAAAAAAGAAAAAAAAAGGAAATTACGCAATAAGAAGTAAACTAGAATCTGGTCCTGGCATGGGTTCCAGTTGGCAATGATGGCATTTGACTGGAAATGTCATTGAGCATACAATCTAATCTAATCCATTTTTTAAATGGCAAACAAGACATCTACCAACCAAGACATAAAATTGTAGCATTAACGGCACCTGTTGTAACAGGGCAGACTTTCACTTTTGAGTGGTCATTTTGAATATTTTACCATTTCAGAAGTCATAAAATTAAAACAAACTGAATCAGCCAAGGGCTGCAAGGTGGATCAGTGGTTAGCACCGTTGCCTCGCAGCAAGAAGGTTGCCGGTTCGTGTTATCTTTCTGTGTGGAGTTTGCATGTTCTCCCCGTGCAGCGTGGGTTCTCTCCAGGTTCTCCGGCTTCCTCCCACACAGTTCAAAAACAAGTTGAGGTTGATTGGTGATTCTAAATTGTCCATAGGTGTGAATGTGAGTCTGCTTGGTTGTCTGTCTCTAAATGTAGCCCTGTGACAGACAGGCGACCTGTCCAGGGTGTCCCCTGCCTTCGCCCTGAGTGGGTTGGGATGGACTCCAGCCCCGCGCGACCCATGGACGGATGGATGAATCAGTCAATGTGAGTATTATATGGAAGAATGAACTATTTTGACAATCGATTAATGAGGCTTAGTAGTTTTTATACAAAAAATAGTCAAAATCATTTGCCTCCAGGTTCCTAAATGTGAATATTATCTGATTTCTTTACTCCTATGTGCCAACAGACTGAATATTCTTGCACTTTGGGAAACACTGATTGCCTTTTTTCACATTTTTCTGACAATTTAGAGACCAAATGCCTGTTCGGTTAGTAGAGAAAACACCTGAGAGATTAATCACCAATGAAAACAATCGTTGAGGTAGAATGGATAAATGAATGAATGGGATTTTTACAGCTGTGTCATGCTTTTAAGTATGCCAAGCTTGCACTGGCCTCTAAGACACCCCAAATTCATACAAGCCCAGAGTGACTAAGAGCTTTGACATCTTCAGATGATAAGTGTTTACGACAAAGTCCATAAACCACTGACAAAATCACAAACAGTATAGTGCAGGAAACGCCATGTTTTAATCATCTACACTACAATACTTCAGGCTCTCTTACGTTTTTACAGCAGAAAAGAAAATGAGAATCTCTGTCCATTTGAGCTAAATGTAATCAAATAAAAAATACTGCTCGGCAGTCAGTACAGCATAAAAGCTACTTTTGAATAGTGATAGTCAGGAAAAGTCAGGCTGCAACAAAACACCTTAAGATATGAACTTTCTATTTATTTCACTGTTAATGCTGTCACGCATTTGTTGGAGGAAACTTTCACCATTGTTGCTTAGTTGTATCTTCCCCACTGTGCTTTAAATACGAGGCAAAATATAAAACAGACAAGATATACACACTTTAGTGGCATTTAAGTCAGCTGGAAGGAAAACACGAAGCAACCAAAACGTTAACAACCGACTAATAACTTTTCAACTTCGACGTTAGCGGCTAATATGCTAACACGTTAGCTTAGAACTAGCTAAAAATTTCTTCTCCCGCGGATATAAAGTTTATTACGCTGCGTATTATGAAACTTGTTAAACGCGGTTGAACTGAACGGACGAAGAACAATAAGAGATGTACATGCTGCCAGTCGTTTTAAATGAGAGGCTGTAACATAATTTACCTTCCCAGTAGTTGCTGCTGGTTGCCATGTTTGTTGTTGACATGTCATCATCAGCCGTCAAGAAGAAACAACCGTCGCACTTCTCGTTTTACCCACCAGCGGCTTCTAATGGTGACCTACGGCAGCTGCACCTCTGACCTAACCCAAGTTTGTCAGTGTCCAGGTGTAAAATGTCAAAGAAATAGCAGAGGCTTTTCTGGCTTATTACTTAGTGGTCCAAATAAATGAATACTGATTGTAAATTATTTCCGCTGATGTAGCTCCACTATGATGAGTGTTTTGCACAACAAATAGAACTGCATTTACATTTTCACTCAAGTAAAAGTACAACAGGATTATCAGCAAAACCTTCTTTAAGTATCAAAGGTCAAAGCTGTTATTACAGGCTTTCACTGTAAAGCATTGTAAAGGACACTAGTAAAATCTCATCTTTTCCAGGTTACTTCATGTAAATAAATTTTGATCTTGTAGCTAGTTGACCCTTAGCTCATTTAAAAGCTGCATATATGATTGTGTAGTTTAAGCTATAAAAATACACCAGATATGTTGAACACTTTTTTATGTGAATTCTTAATTCATAAAGTGACCGTCAGAAAAATAAACAAAAACTGAGTAAACGTACTTGGTTGCTTTTTCCACTACTTCTTATTGTTAAAAATAATCACATACATTGTTCAGCTAAAGTCAAAATTTATTATTTTGGAAAAAATGATATTCTGCTTAGATGCATATATAACAAATGGAAAGTTTAAGTATATTATACCTGATAAAAAAGATTCCAAAGTTGTAAAATAATTCTGACACAATCTCCACACAGCCTTTGTTACACACTGATCTTAGTTCAGTTTCCAGTCAAACATGTGTTCACCCTGCAGCTGTGTTTAGTGCCTAAAGTTTAACCAAATAATTTTTTTCTGAATCTTTTCTATCAGCAGTTAGAAGTTAGAAGCAGACTTTTATGCTTTTCTTATATTGTCCACAAACATTGCATTAAATAACACTCGTTTTACTCTCTTACTTTTGGTTTATTAATTTTTATTCTTCCCTCAAACATAGTTTACTGTCGTGGGATGTGTTAGGTTTTTGTTAACTTTCATTAGTTTTAAAATGGTAGTTTAGGTGGTTTAGTATTTAGCGTACAGACAGTGAAACAAGTCGATGTTCAGTCACGCTCAAAAGCAGTTTGTGTGGCTATTACACCCAGTAGTGTTGAGCTTTCCTTCCATTTTACTCACTGTTTGTTTTTCTGAAAGCCAAATGGAAGCAGTGCAGATTATCCCACACTGATGGACTTTCAGGTTCACTGTTATTTTTTGTGGTGTACTTATTGTTCTGTGGTTGTTTTTTGTGTTGATGCCAAGGGACAACAGATGCAAAATAGTTGCTAGCAAATTAGAAATTAATATCTTGCGCACTCTTTTATACACATGTCCCCAAAAGACAATGACATATTTGCTATCTTTGGAAACTTTGAGATCTCCACTGATTCAAATGAAGTTCTAATTTAGACAGGGTTGTTCATCAGTTTTAAAGAGAATAAATCTCATACATATATGAACTTTTTACCAAAGGGATTCACTAAATAAGTTCATGTTTTGCACATTGATTGTTATGATTTGAGGTGTTTGCTGCTCTCCAGTGGTGTGGGAGTGTCAGCACAGACAAACAAAACAGATGTGATTAAAGTACATGTCAATACTGTGAATCTTTCTGTCTTTTTGCTCATTCTCTTTATTCATCGTCTTGAACATTGGCAGTCATGGATATCACAGTAACAGCAAGACTGGATGTTGTGTTGATGACGATGATGATGATGATGATGTTGATGCCATCGGTGGTGGATGGAGATGAAAAAGAGCAAAAACTTTGAGGTGTTTTCACCGCTCTGCAGCCAACTTCAGCAGACGAGGTCTCTCTCTTTCACATTGATTCAGCTTTTTCTCAATTCTGTCATTCCTATTTTCTGTCTTTCTTACATTTTTCCCTTCTTTTGAGATGTTTCCTTTAAAAAAAAACAAAAGTGCTGTGACCAACTGACACCAGTGAGCACCTGAAGTCCAGTCCCAGATCCTACTTTGACTAGCCGGACCGGCGGAGCTGGAGAGCTGGAGGTTGTGGGAGAAGAGGAGGAAAAGGAGGGATGGAAGTGCAGGAGGAGGGAGAGGAGGAGTAGGAGATAAGGAGGTGTGAAGGAAGCGCTCCCATCTCAGTGCTGGATCCTCCTGATGGACTGAATCTGGGGAGTCTGGGCGTGGGAGCCAAACTCACGGTAACACTTGAACTCTCCTCCGTGACAGTCGCACTCCATGATGTACTGGTGGCCGCGGTAGCCAGGGAACTGGTAGCACACAAAGCTGCAGAGATACACAGGAACATGCTGAATAAATATGCACAGGTAAACACAGCTAAAAGTAATGATGTGAGTAGGTACAAGGAGCAGACTCTTGGTAAATATTTCCAGCCAGTATGTGCTGCTCAGGTGTGTAAAACTTCAGATTACATCAAAAATGCACTTACGCTCCGCTCTGGATGTGAATGGATCCAACCTCGTTGTTCATCCAGCCCATGGCCTGCAGAGAGGGGTAGTCATCACACAGCTCGAACTGACGACCCATCATGTTCTCCATCTCATAGATGGTCATGCGGGACTCCTTGTGGTGCTGCACAAAAGAAGAAGAAGAAAAGAAGTTTAGCACCACTTGAGGCTAAAATCAGCTTAAGGCTTTTGGAGTGACATCTATTAAACCTACAGCACAGCAGATGGGCCTGAAGGAGATCATTCTCTCAATACGGTAGGAGTTGCTGCCACTGTAGGCCTCAAAACGAGGGTAGTCTCCCTTCTCCAGGACAAACTGCTGGCCGCAGAAGCTGGAGTGCTCATAGCCCACCCAGCTGCAGGTCAGAAAACAAGGAGACAGATAGTTAGAACACTCACTAGAACACTTAGATCCACACAAAAGCTAAAGCAAAGTTGCTCTATTATAGCTTTTAAATAATCTCCAAAAGTGAACAAAAGCTCTCTGGATACATACGCGCCACACTCAACCTTCAGGGAGCGGATGTTCTCCATTCCACACTCCATGATGTTCTGGCAGCAGGCGGTGAACTCCATACGCCTGCCCTGGAAGTACTCCTGATCGTACACAGTGATCTGTAAAGCACAAAAACAGGAACTGAATACAGCTGAGTATTAACATACAAGGTACATAAGACCCCCATGCCTAATCATGCAGTGAAACATGGGAGATGTAGAATGAAGCATGTGCTTACCTTCCAAGGGCCCATGGGCATAGGGGATGTCAGAGCCATGTTGTTGTCTTTTTCAGCAGTACCTATGGCGAGCACACACAGACAGTCAAAACAAAAAACCAAACCAGAGCAACAGAACCACTGTCCTACTTGTTTTTCATCAAAATGTTCACCTATTTGTCATTTTGGCAGCTACTCTAAGTGTCATTAGCTTTCTCTAATGTTTGTACCTCACTGTTTACTGTGTCACACATTAACTCCAAGGTTTCTTACAAGAAAGAATAGCACAAGGCTCAGACTTTCTGTTTCCATTTTCTGGTTTGTTTAAAAATGACTAATTTGCAGTAAAGCCGACTTCACTCCAATCAGTTCAGACTCCTTGTTGTCAGTTGATGTGTTGCATTAGAGGCCCAAACCACATCATGTCCACAGACTGGGAAACTGTTCTGTATTGTTAACTACTAGTTTGACCTACCCAAACTGGTGAGCTGTGTGTCGTAGGGTTCCGCTGAACCGTCTGCAGATACAGTGTGTGTGGGGGTATATATACACCCCCGGGTGTCGGGGGGCCGGGGGGCAGGAACGCTTGGACTCATGTCAGCACTTTGCTTTGGACTCCATTGTCTTGTTGTGCGAGCCACAGAGGGGTTAACACACAGACGCACAGTGATTCATGCAAACACAAAGAGGGCACATGGCTATACTGTGTTAGGTACGCATCTGTGGTAAATCTTTACGTTAGGGGGATAAAACAGAGTGGCTTTTCACGGCAGTATGTGGATCTATTATCAAATAGATGAAATGCATTTCAGTAGGAAAACACTTAAGATTGCTGCTTTTGTTTGATTTTTAAAATGCGAGAATTGATTGTGGGATTAAATCTTTCAGTAATCACTTACATTCATTTTCAAAGAAATTGTAATTCATTAATGAAAAAACATGAATGACACTTGTCATCTGTTTATTATTTTTGTATTTCAAAAGTAATTTTCAGGTAAATGCACACTACACTTTAGTCAGTTAGTAAAAGTGATATCTTCTTTGAATTATTTCTAGTTTTAATGGATTTAACAATCACACACATAAACATTAGTACAGGAGGTGGTGGCGCTGAACAAGCAACAAAAAATTATTGAACTTTTACATTTTTTCCTTTGTTTTTTTACTGTGCATGTCTGGTACAAAACACAGTTTTATTTATCACTTTGTATTTCATGACATCACCATTTTGTAGACTTGCTTTTATGAGATTTCATCTCTTCCTCGGTTTATCTCTGTGCTGTGGCATTTTAGTGCTCTTATTATTTTATCTGAATCAATTAGTGTTTTTTTTATGTATTTATGTTAGAGTCAACATTTTGTATTTGTATCTTTTACTGTGTTTAACTCTATTTCTCCATTTTTTGCTTCTCTGGCCTTTTCGCTTTCTGTTTGACCTGACTGGCTTTCTGTTGCAATATATTTTTCCTGAAGATCCTTTTTTTTTGTTTGTCTGTCAAAACGCTTTGTAAACTTTGTTATTAAAAGGTTCTACGTAAATAAATGTAATATTATTATCATTGCATGGAGGGAAGTTATTGCTGCACTCAACATTATGTGCAGCATATTTATCAGATGACATCTTTCTGCTTGTCAAGACTTGGATCATTTGTTTGTCTCCATCTGTGCTGGATACTTTGAAAATGCAGTTAAACATTAACCTAATTTCTCCAGTTTAATGACAAATGGACAAACTGGATAAATCACATTAACACTAAGTTGAAAATAGAAAGATGCTGGTCATGGCGGAAATCTAAACTGTTATGTAGGCTGTTGTTATTCACAAAATATGTTTCAATCAATCAATTGAAAATTCAAATGGAAGCACTCCATCAAATAGAGACTAAACCAGCATTGGCCTTCTCTGTGATGCATTTGTCCTGTTACTGTGTGGTTTGTGTGCGAGCTATGAATGAATGTACCTGTTGCTATTTTTGGAAAATCTGCACAACTGAATAAATCAACAATAAAGGTTAGCAGGGGGCAGCGCACCAGCTGAAAGGCCTCATTGGCAGGTCTGGCAGCACTTTGGCATTGACTGAGGCACTGTAATTGGCAGTTTCACTTTCAGATAGCGACATGCAGTAGAGCATCATTACACAGGGATAATACTGTGGTAATAGCATGAAAAGAGATTGAGTCAGTGGACCTGTGCACTGCTTTTTATACTTTTGATCGATCTGTACCAGGCGGTCTTATCATTAACACAAATTTCTGTTGTTTTAAATCATTTCTTGCTTGTTTTATACATTATTTGCTGTCATTGTGTGATTAAAATAGGCAACACAATGGCAGAGTGAGCAGCTCGTAGGTACATAACTGAGCGTTCACCCTCCTCTCTCCTCTTGCAGCACTGAACAATAAACATTTAGGAATGGCTTACTGAGGTCAGCACATTGTCCAGACTCTCTGTCTGTGTGTGTGTGTGTGTGTGTGTGTTGATGTGCACTTCCATATAATTTCCTGAAAAGGTCCACTACAGAGCCAGAGCAAGATAGAGTGAAATATGTGCATAGATTACAAAAATATTAGCATACATTTGTTAGCACAATCCTGATCAAAGTGGATTTATTGAGGCCTGAATGTGAGACAGGACAGGCATATATGTCCGTGTGTGTGCGTATGTGTGTGTGTTTCTGCTGATGGCTGCAGCAGCAGCTCAGATGTGACAATGAGACAAGCAAACTCAGCAGGCCGGTGTGAAGAGCCCACAGTGGCCATATAGCCGACTGTCAGTGTGCACATACAGATGTCACACACATCCATACCACAATAACTCAGTTTCTTTTACATATGTTTAACAGACACTAAAACCACCTGCAGCCAAATACCCTGCAGCACTTACACTGTCTCCCACAAGACACATACTTAACAGCCACACAAACAACATATTTAATACTTATTAGAAAGCGCTAAGCTAAAACTTCAGTTTCGAAAAGGCTGTCTTAAGAACAAACTTTTCCATGCAGGATTTCCGTGAGCTTCAGGCCTGAACATCTTTGGTTGGAGGAAAGTTTATTCCTCTCATGCTGAACCTATAATGACTCTGCAGGTGATTTTGGTCGATATACAAGCTAAATTACGTGCCAATTCTTACCTGACATTGCCAACTCTAGGTCAGGGGGCATCAAAAGAGCAACAATATCCTCAGCTACCAAGAAGATGACAAATTATATTAGAAACTGGTTTTGCAGTAAATGCACACTGCCTCTAGGGTGCAACATTTCCTCATAAATCTTGCTTTTCGAGGTATCCTTATTAAGTTAGGGAATCATATCAGTCATGTCAAGGAGCCATGTGTCAAGCAGTGATGTTTAAAAAAAAGTCCTTCCAGGGTGTCTTCTCAGGGCCTGAAATCGTTGAATAATCTGAATATTTACGCAGGCCTCTGTTTTAACTGGCATATTTTTTGTCACGGCTGCTGTGAACTGCAGTTACAGTTGACTTGGCACCGTTATCATCACACACAGTGTCACCGCAGAGCTGTGATGGATCGTCATGTGTGGCTGAGATCTCCATTGAGTCATGCAGAGGCCTAATATGAATCAGCAGAGAGTGAAAGAGACACAGAAATAGCATTATAAGCTTGCAGAGTTGTTTTCATTTTGCTCTCTCCTTCCTTAGCTGCTCCAGCTGGGTTGTAATGATCTGAAGATGTCTGTTTATGATTCCAAAATGCAAATATGGAATTTTGTTTTGTTCAAATGATAGTGCAGATAACAACAGCTGTGGATGTAAACATTGTACAGATTGCAGCTAATTAGAGCTGAATTGATCAAAATAATCTACATGGAATGTATGAAAGTGCGGCTGCAGCTCTGATTTGTAACCTTTAATACATTTTAGCTACACTTCATGTGTCTGTGGAAACATGTGCAGTGGCAGAAGTAGTATTCTGATCATTTGCTACATCAAAGTAGTAAAAACAGAGCAAGGTCAAGTTTGTTTTTACCTAAATAGGAGGACTGAGGTAGCAGCAAGATGTACTTAAAGTTTAAAATATGCAACCTTTTCAGTGTTTTCCTGAATCAGAGTCACTTTGTGATGTAAGTGGGAACAGTGTAGCTGAAGTCCTAAGAGTGACAAAGTAAAAAAAAACACTACGACAACCCTGAAGACAGGACTGTCACACAGTTTATTTTCCTTGTAAGGGCCAATTATCAAACAAAGAAACATGACTGGATGTCAGGTTTGCACTTGAACTCCAAGAATTCATCAAAAAAGCAGAGAAAATGTGAATAAGTATGTCTTTGTCCAGTCACAGTGTGTATCTCTAAATAACAATAAATTCAATCCACTAAGTTTAATGAAGAGCACCTTCACTCTAGTTTCTGGGAGTACAAATCCTGGTGTCTTAGAAGTACAGGCCCGTCCAGACAGACTGACCACCTCCTGACTGGAAACAATGGATCCAGCTCCTTGGACATCCTCCTGTAATGTTGGTTCCTCAAAGACAATTAGCTTATTGAACCCACCTGGTCCACTACTGATTAAAAGAAGTCACCCATTGCAATACATGTCCCTTAATTTTATATTGAATTTCCCTTCTGGGATGAATAAAGTATTTTTCATTCATTCATTTCATTTCATTAATAACATGCCAGACCAGGTTCAACTCTGCACCAGCTCTTTTCCTTTCCTTTCAGTTGATCCGGACCAACTCACTCAGTGACAAATCACTGCTTCTCCCCGCTTCTTGTAGATGGGCTTTCTCCTCTGTCTACCTTTATAGAGAGGGACACCGAGCAACACACCAACAAATTCATCTCAATAACTGAGTCTAAATAGCTTTCAGCTGGACAGGAAGGATGATATCTTCTTCCATATCTAACATGGGCACAGCCTGTACACACAACTGGTTTCCAAATAAAGACAAAAGCATGCATTATTGAAGAGAAAAGAAAAATAAAACCAAATCCACTGTGTGGTGTGAAGGTTGACTTGACCACCTGTGTCCCACATTTTGCAACACTAACAGGTACTTTAATGTAAACGCAAAACTACTCAAAGTAATTGTTCTTTATCTCCCCTGTAACTTTAGCGTAGCACAGCAGTTTCCAACCCATAGGTGTCCCACTGAAGCACAAGATAAATCTGAGCTTAATGGGGACTGAAGAAGGTTGAGAATGTTAGTTTTGTCTAATGTTTCCTTTTGTGGTATCGGTCCATTGGACAATTTGAATGTTGCAGTTCGTCCAGACTCATATGTGGGTCAATCTAAAGCAAAGCACATTTATTTTAAAAACTCATAGTTTTGGTAAGTAAAATCATCAGGCCTCACAAAGATCCTAGAGTTCCTGGCATATGATTGACCTAAATCATTCCTTGCAGCACACTACTTCATGAATACATCGCTTAGATTTAGAGAAAAGCTCCACACTATCACAGCTGCCACTCTCGTTTGAAATTATATCATTACAGCTCTGAGGAGGAAAGAATAGTGTGCAGCTTATTTAATTCTTTCCAAGACATTTGATACAGCAAGCATGCCTTGTTTTTAAAAAGAGCTCACAGTGTTGGTTTTAATGAAAATGCTTTAAAATGGTTTCAGAGTTTGTGACAAACTGGGTGAGAACTTTCATTTCTCCTCACCACTTGTTCCCTGACACTTTCATGACAAACATTACACAGCAGTGTTTCTCTCATGCGTGTTTTGCTTGAATTTAATGCAACATTTCAGCACATACTATTCCGACCTTGTTTGTGTTAATATTATGTTACAGCTTGCATCCATCATATGGGAAATGAGAGGAAAACACACAACTATTAATTACTTCCAGTTATCCTTTATTAAGTTACAGTTCAAACATTGTTTAATTGTCTGTTCCTTTGCTCATACATATCTCTGTTCCTTTATTCTGACCCACTATGGAGCACTAGTGATTGGGAGGGAGCCGGCACTTCCTGAATTTATGGTGTTGGTGACATCACTAGGTCAAACCAAGTGGAAGATTTTTTCCTTCTTGATGAATGTCCTTTTGTATAAAAAACAAGGCTTCAGTCAGTATTGATTGCACATGTTTAGCTTTAAGTGAGACATTTAGAAATGGCAACAAGTTTGTAGTGTGTACAATGATGTTAGTTGCAGATTTGTTTGCATCAAGGTTACAGAATAGGAGACCATGATGTATGATGGTAGGGCTGAAGTGAGCAAGGTATGAATTGAGCACCCTATATAATGAGTAGCGATTCAACATTCTAGAGCAGGGGCGGGCAATCCTGGTCCTCGAGGGCCACAATCCTGCATGTTTTAGATGTTTCCTTCTTCCAACACACCTGATTCAAATGATCAGGATCGTTATCAGACTTCTGCAGAGCTTGATGATGAGCTGATCATTTGAATCAGGTGTGTTGGAAGAGGGAAACATCTAAAACATGCAGGATTGTGGCCCTCGAGGACCAGGATTGCCCACCCCCGCTCTAGAGGGACAGGCAAAAGGGTGTTCTGACCAAATGTGCTATTATTGTGAATAGCTATGTGCTGATTTTGAAATTATTTTTCATAAATGGAGTAAAATAAAACCTTCACCTTTTTTGCAGCAAAGAAGTTTGCTGAGTCTGCCTGCCTACCACCTTCCTTGATCTTTTTGACCAGACTGCTCTACAAATGGTGCAGTGGTGGCTCCAGGTTAGTAGGAAAAATCTGTGTGATTAAATAAGCACCAATTGACAATGGACAGTGCACAGGAGCAGCCTCCAGAGGATCTACAACCACAGGGGGCAGCTGGTTAGCAGTTTATTGAGCCATATGACCTAAATGAAATTTCAAACCTGTGAAAGGGCCTGACGCATCAACAAACCAACCGGGATACAAAATGGGAGTTGGACAGGCAACGCCATGAAGAGCACTGGAGAAGAATCCAACACTAGGTACAATTTGAGCACCAGGCCAATGGAAGGTGCAGCAGCTGAACCTAGAACTCTTTAGTCTACTGTAGAGCAGCTTAAAGTCCATCCTGTTTGGCAGGAACAGGACCCCTTGGAAGCATCTTTAGCCCATTCTCCAACTGCTGTTCAGGTCCCTGGGTGGAAAGGCCCAAAAATACAGTCATATCATGAGGAAAATGACATTGAGCATTACCTCCTAACTTTTGAAAGAATTGCCACGCATGCCAATAGTCAAGGGAGGAATGGAAACTTCATCTGGCTCCACGACTTAATGGTAAGACACATGATGCATATGTAGCTATGATAATGATGACACTAAATTTGAAATCCTCCGGTGGTCACCCTGGTTATTTTATTGCAGATTGTCCACTGCAGTCAGTTAGTAAAACATACATGCGTTGCTCACCAAAGTATGTGAATAATCAGGAAGATCATTGGAGGTTCTAGTATCCCCTAGTGATCATGAGCGCACTACTTGTTTTTACTGGGGAAAAGCTTTGTGTTGCTCTATTAGATTCAGGTAGTAGCCACACCCTTGTTGGGCAGGATTGTCTTCCCAGAGATTTCATGTGCAGTGGTAAAATTAGAGTTTGGCCTGTTCATGGTGACAATGTAGAGTACCCCTTAGCAAATGTTAATATTGAAGTTGAGGGTCAGCAGTATTTACTGTCAATGTGAGTCATGAGTAAACTTTTTTACAAAGTGGTGTTAGGCCGATCTTCCCATTCTTCAAAATCTAAAATCAAGGGGGGAGGAAAAGGATCCCTGTGTTTCATGTGGGGGTATGATGCTTATTGAGACCACTTTTCTATTGGTGTTGAACTATGGTGACACTTTATACATGCATGCATCAGCAGCGATTCTTATATCCTTGGAGACAGTTTATCTGTCTGCATGAAGATTTATTATTGGTGATAATTACAACACTTATCACGGTGTGCTGCATGATCAGATTGGGCCACCCATCCTTTCTGTACGGCTTGATAGACAATGACTTTATTAATCCATGAAGCTCTGACTGGTTTTTATTCTCTTGCATAGCTTCATTGCTGTCTGTTAATCTGCACTCTTACTATACAGACTCACATGATTGGATTACACTGCAAATTCTGGTTGTTTTTACCAAATTTAAAATAAATCCAGGTTTACTCATTGCAACCTGGAATAACCTGCAGAATAATCAAAAACTTTGTTTTTGTCCTCAGGGCAGTTGAGGTTTTAAATCTCATATTGTACTTCTAGCTGCTCTTGTTTTGTTTTTTTATGTGTTTGTTTCTATGGCTTAAATTGTCTAGTTTGTGTTTTGTTTTGTTTTTTTTTTACTCATTTTATGGTAACTCAAGTTTTATATTTGTGTGCTTACATCTTTTTATTTCTCACTACACTGGCCCTCATATCTCAATGCACTCAATGTATGAAGCAACTTAAAATGAAAATTTCAAGTCAGGATTGCGCTTGCGTAGTTTTTGAGAAACATATTCTGGCTAGTTTGTTTCCATCACTGAACAGGAGTAGCCAAACTGTCAAATATGAGCCAAAACAAATGTCTAGGCTTGTCCAGGTGTAGTGATCTTTGTTTCATTGTGTTACTGATAATATACACTCATGCCAGTTTGACCATCTGTTTACTGAAAAGCCCTCATAATCCACAGACTTAATGTGAGCCTAATAATGAAGTTTTTTTTCGTCCTTTCACACACGTGCTATAAATTTCAGTTTTGTTTTGAATTAATCAGCTGTTTGTCGTGCTGATTGTTGCGCGCACCGCTTTCTCGTAGTGCAGACTGTGCGCAGAAGCAGCAGCCGCTCTGCGCTGCTGAGACGCTCCCCCCCTCCTCGAGGGCAACAGCCATCTGCCGCCTCTTTTTCAGTTTCAAACCAGCAGATTATTTCCCTCAGACGTCTAGCTTCACTTGACACAACCGAAACAACGTCCCCGAGAGCAGCTGCCGGCGCGGAAAAGCGGCAACCGTAAAGAAAAACAGAAGCCCGCTCTGCGCAACGACAGCCGCGGCCGTTCGCATGCGACCCGGAGACAGACCGGAGGATCACACAGACGAAGCGGATTTGAATTAAGCTGCGGATAACGGACAGCAACTCTGCATCCTTCGGTGAGGGAGGGAGGGAAGGAGGGAGGGAGGCAACTGTTTTGTAGCTATCTTGGAAGCCCTGGGTGAGGAGAGGGGGGAGGAGGAGCGGAGAATGAGCTATTCTTGTACCAGCAGAGGCAACAGCCAGGACCCGTCAAGCGCTAAGAAGCCTGCCGGGAGTAATCCGGGCAGAGACGCTGGAGGCACCGACGGCGGCACAGACAGCACCAGTAACGGCAGCCCGAAGCAAACGGCGGCGATGAAAGTGAAGAAAGGCTGCAACGAGGTGGGGGTCCCGGTGACCACGGAGGAGGACCTGCTGGGCAGCGCCGTGATCACTCCGGAGGATGTTCTGGGTCTGCAGAAGATCACAGAGAGTAAGTTGACTGCGGCTGCTGCTGTGCTGGTTCTGGAGCGAGAAAGAAGCAGGAATAAAGGTGCTAAAATGTGAGCTCTCCTGTATGACTCATGTATCACGTCACTCCCGTGTCCCCGTGTATTTATGTAATCTATACAGGCCCTGTTGAAACACACTGAACCATCTGCGCTCTGCTCAGGTGCAACCTGTCTGCAGATGTGCATCAAACCTTCTCTGCTGGCATCTCAGCAGCCCTGTGACCTGCGGAGGTGTCAGCCTGCACACCTACACTGTTGTGTGGAGGTTATGGCACACAAACGTGGAGGTGGAGATGTGTGTGCAGCTTAAACAAGTGCAGCCAGGCTCTGAAGAGTGGCTTGATGGAGCTGTGAAGGAGTTTCTACATGCAGATGACAGTTAATTGCTGAACTCACTGCATGCATGACTCACTGTGCGTTTAACCTCATTAAATTACATTAAATGACTGGAGTGGCAAGTTTTCACTTCAGGATAATTTACTTAGAAGTGATGCAGACTTTTTTACTTTAGGGACGTAGCAACAAACTGCAGTATCACAGGTACAAAATGTACTTTAAGTAGCAAAAGTTCAAATGATTTTGTTGTGTTGTTAGACATTACATGACTGCATTATTGTTGGGGATGCATCCATGTGTAAGGAGCATTTTAATGTTGATTTTAGTGGAGCTGATTTTAACCTATTATAGTGTTGTTGGGCACAGAAGCTGAAATTTTGGTTTGTTTTGTAAAATCTTATTCAGGAGAGTAACTAATTACATTTGTCACATAAATGGACAAAAATCTACAGTACTTCCTCTGATATGTAATGAAGTAAAACGAAAAGCATGAAGCTGTATTTCAGTACATTATTTGAGTCACATTCCTCTGCCACATTGTGTTGTGCTTGATGTCAAAGAGGACATCTGGAATAACGCATAACACATTTAAAATGTTGCACTTTTAAACTCATTTTCAACTCACAAGCGTCACCTTTTTGTAATGTCATCATGCAAAATCTGCTGATTACATAGCGCCTTACTTAATGCAGCTGTTTTTTAAAATTATGTCACACCTCTAAGTCTCCAGGAAGCTCTTCTGTACACAAGAACACCTACATTTATCACCAACTCAGGTCTTAGTTAGCTAATAGGTGACAGCAGGACGTCCAACTATTTAAAGGCCGGTGTAATACCTCACTTACACAACACAGTTCCATAACAAACTGGGGACATGCAAACTCGCTGCAGGATTTTCTCACAGCTATTTTAAAAGGCATTTAAGCATTTAAATTCATCTGCACAAATTCACCTTTTTTCTTTATATTTGATGTTCCTCCACCTTTCAGCTCAGCTCAACACATTTCTACATGTGACTGTGAGATGCCATAAGCAATACAAGGAGAGCTTGTGTTTTTACTCTCCAAGTCGTTCCAACAGCAAAGACACCTCTGCTCAAATCATGTTTTCCCAACTTCTAAGTCTTTTTTCTACTTTTATTCTTAGTTTTTTAAGATAAAACTGGAAAATAAAGTCATGGTGTGTTCTTGCTCGTCTATACTTTGGGAACATCCTCTGCTTTTACTCACAACCACTGCACGTAGTTTCTTTACTTATCATTGAACTTGTTCATTTTGAGAAGCAAGAGCTGTATTTTGACTTGGTCGTGAGCATGTGTGTGTCTGTGTGAGCAACTCTGTGAAGTGATTCTATGTGGGTTTGATATCCAGCTGTGCAGGACACGTACGTGATTGTCGTAATGATTCTGTCTCCCACGCTGGACCCCGTTATGGTCTTGGAGACTCTCACTTTCCTACCTCGCAGCGTCATCGCTGGAGGCAAGAGGAGGCATGTGTGAATCACCACAGCAACGTGGATACACGCTTGAATCACTACGGCAACATGAAGCATCTCTCCCTTGGTTACAGCCAGCGGAGCGTGGATCTCTGTTTCTCCCACACACTTCCTGCTTTCCTCCCTGCCCTGTTTACCAGTGTAGGTGTTTTGTCACTTGGACAGAAGATGACATATGCACACACATGCTAACACTTTCCTGACACTGTTGTTGGCGGTCAAACAAAGCAGGAAACAAGCTGAGCTCTCTCCTGTGAAGACACAGTCACCGAAGCCCTTCTGTTGTTTTGTGACTCGTCTGTCTCGTTTTTTGTTGTTTTTTTTTTTTGCTGCTGCACATTCTCAAGTGGCTGAAATGGATTCTCTCTCTAAGTGGCTTGATGCACAACAGACAACACTCTGCTCAGACTTCTCAACAATCCTTAATCTTTTTTTACTCAGTAGTTTGAACTTGTTCGAAGCTCTGACAATGACAGAGGACGAAATGTGACTTTGTGTCAGATAAATTCTCAGTGTAAAGTTGCCACTAATAATTTTGTCCTCTGTCCATTTGGGAATCAAAGCAAGCTGCTCGGATTCATTAAGATTTGCATAGACAGAACAGGCTTTCTGCTCAGCTGACTGATTTGATCCAAATGTTCTTAACTGAATCTTAAACTTAATCTGTCAGTGTGGAGCCTGCGAGAAGCAGGAGAGGCTCCCCTGCAGACACTGTGATTGCGTTTTGTTTCTTGTAGAGATGCAACTGGCGGTGTTTTTCACATTATTTTTTCCAATCAATCAGTCACTTTGTATAGAGCTGAAGCAATTTTGACAGACAAAAGAAAAGACATTTTCAAGCAAAAAAGGTGAAAAACTACCAAACATTCTCCGATTCCACATTCTCATGTTAGAGGATTTACTGCATTTCTTTGACAAGTATCACTGTATTTCGAATATATTTAGATTTTTTCATGAACAAAACATTTGAAGACGTGGCCTTTAGCGCTGCCATATATAATACATTTCACAGCAGATTTTTTTTTTTTTATTAATGAAAATTAATCGCAGTTGCAAGCTTAATTTATCCGAATTGTGTATTTAATTTATAATGGAAAAGAGAGCAAAGCTACAATTTCTTACATTTCAGAAGGTGACACCGGCCAATGTTTGGCCTTTATGCTTGATATAAAACTTAAGTTCAAATACTGGACTTGGAGGCAGACAAAAAAAAAAATTCTAGATTTGATGCCGTAAATGACAGTTATATTTTAATTAATCTGCCAGTCATTTAAGTAATGCATTTTTTGTTCTACAAAATGTGTTGAAATGTAAGTCAGTTTCCCTGGACCAAATGTGGCATTTAAGCGGTCTAAAAATCGAAACGATATTCAGTTTAAAGTTTAGAAAAAACAGCAAATCTTCCCTTGAAAGAAGCAACTGCAACACATTTGACTTGTTGCATAAAACAATGACAGTTCCTGATAAATTTTCTGCTGATTGAAATAACCCACAATTGTTTCAGGTCAAAAACATAGCAACAACCTACGGTGACAATAAAGCAGATTAAGTGCATTTTTGTAACTTATTGCTTCAGTTTGGTTGTTAGGAACCTCTACTAAGTAAGCACATCACTCTCTGACTTTTCAGAAATGTCTTGATAGAAACTTCATGTTTGGACTTATAGTGGATGAATTTTCTCTTCACCTTCAGCAGTGGCAGCATGACATGGCTTGTTTATGCTGATTGGCATCAGTTGTTTCAGATCACATTCAGGCAGGTTTACAGCACAGACATCAGATCAGCGACACTTAACCACTGTTACTGTCATGATTACGCTCATGCAGACGCTGGTTGTTGCCACAGCTGCCTATAGCAACCCAACCTCCTCCTCATTTGTGGATTTAATTAATGCTCATATATGTGCTATTAAAGGGGATTAGCTCTCTGAGCAGAATCTCCGTTGCTCAAAGTCAGTTCTGCCAAAACCCATATACCTTATTGGCATAATGTATTTGCAAGCAGCCATTTCAAGTGTTTATTAATGAATAGCATTTGTCAACAATTACAGCCTCTATTAAGCAGATATACTTTATACTTTTAAAGCTGTGAATTTTCATTTATCATGTTTAGGCATGGACCTCCTTATGGTGCCCGCAGGAGGAGGTATAGTTATTGACAAATACATTCATATCTGTTTCCCACTAAAGTATAGTGTGTTTTAAACAATGTATTTAATGTCCATGCAGTGATGTGATGTTCCCAAGCGGGGGTGTCAATTTATAGATTGATTCCTGATTAATTGTAATTTGCCTAGAAGGTATTTTTCAACCAACATGCCATCTTTCTCTAGTCCCAGATTCTCAGATGGGATGATTTGCTGCTTGTCCTCTTGTGTTTAGATTATAGTGGTTTGAATATGTTGGTTCTGTGTAGTCTGGGTCTGGCAAGACAAGATGTTTGCAAACAGTCAGTTGAGGAAATGATCAGCATGGGAAACAGAAAAATAATGGTTTAAGAAGAGGGCACCTTGGACACCTTGTAGTGCATCATTGTTTATGCCTCAGCCAGTTAGGAGTTAAAAATAAAAGGTTCCTCCTTCGAGTACTTATGATTTAACTACAAGCTCGTTTAACTTACAGAGTGTAAAGCATCAGATTTGTTACTATGGTTACTCGCAGTTTAATACAGGATGGAGTCATCAGGTTTGATGCTATAGTTACTAGCATTCGGAAACAATCGTTGACAAGGTTACCAGCAGTATTATCTAGGGGTCCTCGAGTAGAATTTTATCAGACAACTTCCAGCCAATGAGAAAAAAGTGTCCTCTGCAGCCACAGTACATCTTATAAACAATAATTTAACACTGACTCATTGGGAGACAATCAGGAGACGGTCAGCATGCAGTAATTACACTTTCACTCATCAGTACCACTACTGCAGTTTCACTGCTTTAAACTGCATTTCCTGAGTGTCTTAAAATGAATTCACAGCTGTGAAACATAACAGAAGCTCTCATACAAACACCACTGTGTGAATTGGCCCGTGACCTCTGAGATCTTGGGCATGAAAGCAAAATAACAGTGACAATCTGCTGAAAATAAACTCTGTTTTATGACCCATTTACTCTGTTAAGCATCCAGAGCTCAAATAAACGCTTAGACCTGCAGGC